CACACACACACACACACACAGATATTAATTCATTTGTAATTTCTTCTTTTTTCTCTCTACATAAATTTGTTCGTTCTTTCTTTCTTTCATTCTGCCTGTGCGTTCAATTAGAAATTCGTTATTTTTTTCACTCATTAATTTGCTCATGCATTCTTAATTTGCTCCTGTCTCCATTTCCTACATTCTTTTGTTCATTATTTCTTCCTTTAAAAAAGGTCAAAATGTATAAAAATAAATATGTCATTCTCATTGAAAGACGAATATTACTACTTCCTACAGGGCAAAATGGCGGACATAACACCGAAAACGGTTGCAACTTTAAGCGATTCAGGAACTCGTCAGTGAGTGCCACCTATTTGTTATCCTCAGGGGAAAAAAAGACATCTCATCGTTATCATCAAGTGCCTTGCCCGGTGACGTGTTCGATTATTTCTCTCGACAATTTGCGATCTTTAACTGGATGTATCAGTTCGCGTGTTGACACCCCACCATTCCATAACAAAAAACTGTCAAGAATCTTCATCTGTCTCTTTATGCACAGATCTTTGCAGTAGTCACAATATGCTCCAGTTTCCTTCTACTCATTATATGGATCCTCTCTCTCCCCCCCCCCCCTTTTTTTTTTCAACAATAAAAATGAAGATTGTCTCTTTCTGATGTTTGTGATAAGCTGTCATCGAGCCCTCGCCTCTTTCGAAACATCACATTTTCACTCTTGCTGTCCAAGGAGTTCTGAGAATGATGCAATAAAACCACATCTCTGAGACCTCCAGCAATTGTGTATTAATTGTCCATGATTCACAGCCGTATGTTGAAACTGGCTATATACAGCGTGTGAGAATTCTTTTCCCAGCTCCTAATGACATTGTTGCGTAAAATGTTCTTCTCTGCATAAAATCATCTTGTGGTCTGTCCTATTCTTATCTTTATCTATGTGGTATATCTTCCTTTGGATTTTATTTCAATGTCTGTACTTGTCTTAAAATATTACCTTTGACTTTACTAAACATTTAGGCACATACTTATCTTTTATATCGCCATTACGTCTGTCTTCCTATTATTCCATTATTACTAATTGTAAATAGCCAGTGATTATAAATGAAGACTTTAGGACTGTATTCTGAAGGACTGGCTGGTGTTCTGTCTCTCGGGGCTGTTGAATCAACAACAACAACAGTAACAGCACTGTAGATGGGAGTGTTGCCAGTCGCCGTCTTCACAGTGAAAGTTGGCTGCAATGGATCTCCAATACACTCTGTCTCTGGCATTGCTTGTATACTCTCTTAGACTGCTGTTTGCCCAACTCTTGATGCTGTTTCCCACTTGTACAACTGTTTATCTATTGCTCTCTTATCCTCAACCTTTCCCTTCAGTATGGCATTTAAAATCGTATTATTTTTTTAATGTTGCCAAAATATGTCAATTTTTGTTTGTTTTGATTTTTGTTTTTTAATTTCTCTCAGTGATTATCTTTTCATTCACAGTTTTTTACTTGATTGTTTCTGTTTCCATAAAATACAATCTAATCTTCTGTATACCCACATGTCCAGAGACTCAGTTGGATTTTTCTAAAGTTGCATGTTCACTGACTAAGTTTCTGCACCATACAGCTAGGTTAAGTATAACGTTTGGAAATACTCATTTACAATGTGTTCCCTGCGTCTCTAGTTGTCATTAACTTTCGTATCTTATTGAAGATAGTTTTAGTCATTCCTATTTGACTTTTTGATTTCTAATTCGCTTCTGTCATCATCTGTAATTACGTGTCCAAGATAGGAGAAACTTGTTACTTGTTCTAACATCCCTCCTTTACTGTGATGCTCACTGTCAGTAGCTCTTTTCTATTGTTAATGACCATAAACTCAACCTCTTACAAACTTTCTAGAGCTGTGAGTTTTAATAGGCTTAGGCATCTTCAAGTGCTAAATAATAATAATTATAATAATGATAACAATAACGGCAATAGTAATAATAATGTGCACAATAGCATATATAACAATAAAACAGAGATACTTGAAAGTTTGCTGCGAATCTTACAGGACGTTGCAGACTCAACTCGGGCATTTTTCGGCTGTTTGTGGTTTCACTAGGCAGCTTTATGATTAAGTAGTTTGCCATTGTTTACTTACCTGTCGGTACTAGATACTCATGTCAAGTTCAACGCAAAGCGATCTGCTGCTAAACTGCTGGAACCGAGTTGGAAACCTCGGAATTAGGAAACGCCTAAGCCATTTGAGATAACAGATACGTGTAAACAAAGACTTGAAGAAAAGATAACTTCTATACATGACTGGGGAGAGTGTCGCTTATCTCCCTGAAATATTTCGGGAGAAGCGGGAGTGGCTGAAGAACTCTTAACTCGCTCTATACGAACAGGTTATAGGTGATGCCACAAAGAGGCGGTAGTGAAATCAACAAAATAATGGGTCTTCTACATCCACAGGGCCAAATACACAACCCTAGTGTTGCTGAGTGTTTTAGCATGCTCCGACTAAATATAAAATGTAAGCAAGTAAAAGACCCTTGTGTAGGCATTCAGGCGTATTGGGCATATAGGGCTAGATCTATATTTTATAGACCAATCGGCACTTGGTGATTGATGTGTTCCGCATCACGCCTGCCGCTTTTACTTCCCGTGTCTTTGAGGCTGGGTCAACCTTGGTTGCAGAGTCATTTTTGAAATTAAAAAAAGTCCGGCTCCATAAGGACCCGAGCCCATGACCTTCTGACAGCCAGGCCAGTGTCTAGCCGGTACAGCATATAGTCGATTCATATAGCCGGTACAACATATAGCCGGTACAACATATAGTCGGTACAACATATAGCCGGTACAACATATAGTCGGTACAACATATAGCCCGTATAACATATAGCCGGTACAACATATAGCCGGTACAACATATAGCCGGTACAACATATAGCCGGTACAAAATATAGCCGGTACAAAATATAGCCGGTACAACATATAGCCGGTACAACATATAGCTGGTACAACATATAGCCGATACAACATATAGCCGGTACAACATAAAATGTACAAGTATAATGTGTCAACTGGTGTACATGGGTATATGTCCGAAGCCAGCATGTAGCCGGTACAACATAGATGCTCCAATATCAAATTTACAAGTATAATATGTCAACTGGTGTGTATGGGTATATGTCCGAAGCCAGCATATGGCCGGTACAACATAGATGCTCCAATATCAAATGTACAATTATAATATGTCAACTAGTGTATATGGGTAGTTATAAATGGTGTGTTTTTGGGAGTGAAAGAATTAAAATATTGGGGGCGGGTGAGGAGGCGGGGTAGAGGTAGGGGCCTTAAGGGGTAGAAAGCTCCAGGTTCGGTGCGACTACAGTCTCTCTGTGTAAATGGTGATTCATGATTCTGTTGTTTATCGCCATGGAGTCAGTGAATCCCCCAACTGATAAAATCAAAAGACCCTGCCTACACCTCCCAAAAACATTCCAGGTCAAGGCTGGAATTATCCGTCATCTACCCATCTGGGTTTCATGATCTCATTGTTTTGGGGACAAGAAGAACAACCCCCCTCCCTGCTCCTAAACAAGCATGTCGTAAAAGGCGATTAGATTTTGATTTACTATAATAGGATGTGGTGGGCCGAAAGAAACAGATGTCACAGCTTAGCTGTAAATCAGAACACATGCCAAGCACCCTTTTAACGGCGATTGTAAAGTAAGAGAAAGGCAACTACTGATTCAAAAAGTCATTATTTTGAAGTCAATCCAATATGAGCAAATCCTTACAACCCTGTTCAAACATTTAAAATAGTTGCATTTATGCGCCTTATGCTTGCGAATTAAGCTGTTATCTATGGTCGACTGCTAGTTGTCTCCGTGACCAGTTCGATATTTATAGTATCATAGACGATTGTCACTCCGTGAGGATCATGGAGTTGTGCCCCTTGTTTTGGGAAAAGGGCCTGCTGAGTCCATTGCGAAGGTGGCAGTCTCTGTCACATAGTAAAGTATCGGACTCTTTCTCACGGCTTCGGGCGGATTGGGCATATAGGGCTAGACCTATGTTTTATAGACCAATCAGCACTCGGTGGGTGATGTGGTCAACGCCAACCGCCTCAACTTCACATGACTTTACCTAGTACCCATATAAGGCTTGGTTGACCTGCGAGCCATATTTATTGATAAAAAAAAAATTTCAGTTCTTCTTCCACACATTCCACATATACAAAAGGGGGGAGGGGGAGCCCCGTTGATGCTCTGTTATATTGAAAGTAGTGTTCTCTCTGACGTTTCCTCTCTAGAACTTGCTTCGCTGGGCATCTTGCAAAGTGCTACAGACGGTCCTTCACTGTCTCACTGTCTGCCTCACGGTGCCAGTAATTATAGCGATGACAACATGTTTTTTAATTTCGTTGTCTCTTCTCACTATCCACTCACCGCTGTTTACATTTTTCATGTGTAAAAAAACTCGAGGTAACACCGTTTTTCAAAAGTTTGCTGTAATACCCGATCCTTCAGGGTGCGGCGTTGAATCGTGGATCCGACACCTCCACTTTTGAAAAACCTCATTTCTTCATGACATCTAAGGGCTTGAGATCGTAACAGTTAAAAAGCTGTCACTGTAGGTCATGCCTGTGTCGCTCCATTACCTTCAGAACTTTGAGGAATGCCACAAAACACAATTTTGAGTGCTTTCCAAATATTTTCCCCCAAGATGACATCACATGACAGTCCAGTATGTTCGAGGGTGGCTTTCTGATGCCTTTAACTACCCCAAAACATCTAGAACTGGCCCTAACGACAACCCACCTACGTCCCACAAAAGAGTGCAGCCTAGGTCTCACGACTGCATGCAGCCTAGGTCCCACGACAGCATGCAGCTTATCTACAACGCCCTAAAATATTCGACTGTCGGTTTGGGGGAAGATATAGGGATAGAACCCAATTTTGATTTGTCAAGTAAGGCATATACACACACAAACAGAGGTAGAATTAAAGCAGTCCATGGAGGATTAATCCTTGTCGAAGTATTTGGCCAGTGCCATTCCACCGAAGCCAAGGATAGCCACGAAAATTTTCAGTATAGAACCCCTTTCGGTAAATTCCTCTCGAAGGATCTCGAAGACAGTGACGTATAAAAACGTCCCCGTCGCCATGGCCTGGAGAATCCAGCTGGATAAATTTTCGGCGTTTTCGTCAATGTCCCCGGATGTAAGAATCATTCCTAGACCTGCGAAAGGTTAAAAATATGAGCAAGGTACAGTTTATATTAAATTGGAAGGTAAGCACACAAACAGAGATAAAACGTGGGGGGGGGGGGGTAAGGGGGCGTGCGGAAATTATCAAAGTCCTACCCCTACGACATATATATTCTCTAGGCAAAAGGGACGGGGGATGCCTAATTCTAGTTTTAGAGCATGGCAATGATGATAATGATGATGATGATGATGATGATGATGATAGTGATGATAATAAGGATGATGATGACAATGACGATGATGATGATGATCTGCTGAATGGTAAATACATTTGATCATCATTCATCATCATCATTGCTATGTCTTGCCTTTATATATCACATAGGGCTCGCAGTCTATTCCTCCATCCTGTTCTATTCTGTGCAACCTCTTGGATATCATGGATGGAATCCAGTCCAGCACCTTTGGCCTTTCTCATCAACGTTCGTTTGAGGGTTTACTTTTGATGTCCTCGCTTTCTCGACCTTGTTTCCCATGTTCGTGCCTGTTTGGTCATTGTCTTCTGGTTTTGTCTCAGTATATGTCAAATTTACCGCCGTCTCCTTTGTCTTTTATCTGTTGTTGTAAGTATGGACAGAATCACATTGTTGTTGTGACTGATCAGTTAACTGCGTGATTCATTTATAGATTTCTGTTTAATGATTTGTTTAAAAAATTATCAATTTAAAAGGGTAATGATTAGTTGATTGGTTTGTTGACTGGTTGGTTGACTGTTTGACTGGTTGGTTGACTGGTTGGCTGACTGGTTGATTGATTAGTTGGTTGACTGGTTGCTTGGTTGCCTGGTTGGTTGGTTGACTGGTTGGTTGGTTGACTGATTCGTTGATTAGTTGGCTGACTGGTTGATTGACTGGTTAGTTGACTGGTTAGTTGACTGGTTGGTTGACTGGTTCGTTAACTGGTTGGTTGCTTTCTTGGTTCATTGATTCCCCAGTCTGGTATCTTGATTTATTTATAGTCTGAGTAGAATTATAAACGCTTAAAGAAACTGGGATGAATTCAAAAGGGGTGAAGAAGTAATATAAAATGTCTGAGTGACCATTGCTAACAACAGTTATAAGACAGAGAAGAACGCGTTATATTGGACAGCTCATGTGAAGAAACGAGCAGAGAATCACACAATTTGCACTAAAATGGAAAATAAAGGGACTGAAGAATGGAGACGTTGAAAGGAAAGACATGAACGAAGTAGATGAGGAAGGCAAAAGGTGCTGGATTGGATTCTGTCTATGATATCGAAGAAACTGCCTACAACAGAACGGAATGGAGGAATAGACTGCGGGTCCTATGTGACCAACGAGCCTCGACAGTACAATGAACGAGTGAATGCGTTAAGAACCGACAACACAGCAGTCAGGATATTCCTATACCCACTTCGCCCTCATCTCCAGCACACATTAAAGAGTTCCAGTTCCGTTGGTACCATTGCCAGTTGGATTATATGTTCGTCTTGCCGTTTCTATGAGTGTAAAAAGTCGCCAAAAAATCGCTTGTTTACTCCACGCTATGCCATTCTCTTCTCTCGGTGATGATCTTTTTACGACTCCGCACTGTTCACTTTCCCTCAAATAGTCTTGACTATATCTAGCTTGTCGTACATCAAGTCACCACATGGTAGTGGTAAACCAGCCAGTGTGTCTGCTTGTTGATTTCCCAGCCCACCTGCATCACACTGAGAAACAAACATCCAGAGGAAGCCAAAAACCAGGGACCTCTGACTAACTTATTGATTAACAGGTTGATTGCTTGATTGATCGATTGGTGAATTAAGCGATACAATGATCGATTACATTTCTGACTGATTTATAATCGACTGATTTATTGATTCAGTTGTTTGATTAAGATGACCGATGTTGCGATCAGAGGTTCCGACACAAATAAATTATGGGGGAAAAAGGTGGGAGAGGGGCGTTAATCTCTCTTACAAATTTTCTAGGGGTTCAATGTCTTTAGCTTTGTTTAAGTCTTTAATAATAATAAATTATGTGTATATAGTGCTGAGTGGCATATTATTATTATCATCATCAGTTCTTTTTATGCCTAGTGGCACATAAGGCTTCAGAGAGGACTTTCCATGCTCTTCAGTCCTGTGCAATCTTCAGTGCAGTTTTCCATGTCAGAGATGCTATACATAAGGACTTCTGGGTTAAGAAACTACATCATTTCACTCAAAACATTTCCATAAGCGCTCTGTCCCTATCTTCAGCAGCAAGTTTCCAATTCCGACGGCATCTGTAACAGTCTCACTGTATGCCCGTCTCACCCCTCCCCCGAGTATTAAGCATTGACCAAGCGTGGACGTTTAAAAGCACATAATTCCCCATTCCCGCTCCCCTTTTCCATCTTCACAATCAACTGTTTAATGACTAAATAAAGTACCCTTTTCTCCGCCCTCAGGCGTACAGGGCATATAGGGCTAAACCAATGGGTACTTGGAGGGTGATGTAGTCAGCAAGCATCACACAGGCCACCTTGGCGTCCCAGAACTTCACCTGGTATCCATTCAAGGCTGGGTCGACCCGGAGGCCGAGGTCATTTTGGTAAAAAAACAAAGTTAGCTCTGTCAGGGCCTGAACCCACGGCTTTCCGATCCACCTCCGAGCTCTGGTCGCTATACCACGGCGGTTTCCGCCGGACTAAACATATACAAACACAAAGAAAATTCTCAACGTTTCCTTACCGACTCCAAGAGGGGAGATCAACGAGAAGACAAACACCCAGATGAATCCCATGAGTGGTCGCGCTTTGAACGCTAAAAATAGCTGCAGCCCTAAACACACGGCCACCAAGGATTTGTGGATGCAAATGGCTGTAAACATCTGCGAGGGGAAACCACACAGTAATCATTATCTTTGTAATACAAGTAGCAAAATATTGATGGAAAAAAGTTAAAGAAAGATCGATTGTATTTCTGCTGGCATATCACTGAGTTCAATCTACATTAAAGCAAGTGTAAAACTATTTGCTCTTCTACACACAATGTGCCACACACAAAAATTCACATTTATATATATATATATATATATATATATATATATATATATATATATATATATATATATATATATTATATATATATATATTATATATATATATATATTTTATAATAAAGCTGTCAAAAATTATTTGATTATTTTACAGTTTTGTACTAATTTGGACGGGGGAGTTTCCTTTAAAATTTCAATATTGAACCAAGTGGGAGTCGCCGTGGCGTAGCGGCTAGACGCTCGCGTGGTCATCGGAAAGTTGTAGGTTCGCTAAGTGGCGGAGTAGGACTTTTTTTTAAAATAACCTTGACTCACAGGTCGACCAAGCCTTGAGTTGATACCGGGTGCAATCCCGGGAAGTAAAGGCGGCCGGCATGATGCTGACCACATCTCCGATCTTGTTCCGATTGGTCTTTACAAATATAGTTCTAGCCCTATATGCCCTATACGCCTAAAGGCGTGAAAATGGACCTTTACTTTTACTTTACTTATTGCGTCAAGTATGTCTCGTCAGAGTGCGTTTCTCAACCTTAAGGTGGCGTTGTGCCACAGCTGCGAGATTGCTTACTCGTCTGCTTCAAAATGACGTTCATTGGTAAAGTTACAATTTCTTCAGGGGGGAAAAATGATGCAAAACGAAATATTAAGCAATTTCCGTACAAAGCATGGAGTTTATGCGGACTCTGATACCTCCTGTAAAGATCGACGAAACCAACGTGCAACATATCAGTAATGGTTTTAGTAGGAGTCTTATCGTTGGTGAATACTACCGCGACAAACTTCTAGACAACTTCCTTCTTGCTGACACGAAGGAAATGTTGGAATAGTTCACTTGCCAGCAGGCGCAACACCTGATTATACTGCTCGAGACACAATATTGTTTCTCGCGCATTAAACATTCGAACTGTGTTTGTGGCCATCCAATAGTCCAGAGCTTAACAAAGTGGACTGTGGAATAAGGGACGTCATTCAAAGAAAGCCAAATAAGCCGCGTAGATGAGCTAGCAAACCGGATAAAGCAAACTTGGAGCGAAAGTATACCAAACAATAATAAACGCGGCAGTAAAATTGTGTCGAATTCAAATAAAATGTTTATTGTTATGTTGTAGCTAGCAGGGGACGTTTTGTGCACCAATTTAAATAAGCAAAATGTAGATTAGAATTTCGTCAATATATGTACCAAATGTTGTAACAATCACATAATTTTGGAAGTAGTTATTCACAATTTAAACAGGTTAGATTGCCGTTACACACAGATACTAATGATTGTTATTTCCCGTCTTTTTTAGGATGAAATTTTTCGTTATTTGAAACCCTACTCTGGCTTTTGCCAGAGACCGCAATATAGCCTGCCATAAATATGGCATAAAGGCTGAATGCTGTTTCTGGGACCTCTCCACGGTGATCCTCACCCACATGGTGGCACATTGTGTCATCGGGTGTGTATCGCTTGTGTGATGTCCTGGTGGGGTAGAAAGTCAGTCAGCCAGTCAATTTAAACAGGTTATTGATATTCCTGGGGACACGTTATATATATTAGAGATTATTCTAACATAGCAACGGCGATGCCCAGTCATAGATCTAGGATTAGAATCTGATTCTCCTCGTGTGGATTCCGGGGACCCATTGCTCGATGGCGTGGAGTGGGGGCAAAAGAACAGACCAACTGGCTTTTGATAAGCATGTCGTAAGAGGCGACTTATTATGGGTGTTTCCTTTGAAATGGGAGTACATCTACCTGAGAGATAAGGAACCAACAGTCTGCAAACACATACGCCAGATGTGAAATGAATGTGCACAAAAAACTCAGTTTCTACAACAAGACCAAAATCCAGAAGTGGATAAACCACTAGAACTGCCCGCCCTAGTTTACAGCTGGTGAACGCAAAGAGATCACCCCCCTCCCCCCCCCCCCCCGCTCCCTACCCGGGGCCGTTAAAAACTGACGTTGGCTGCCAGATCTAAAACTGGTACAAGGTAATTTCACGGGAAGTAAAGGGGGCTGAGAGATGCTGACCACATCAACCACCGAGCCTGAAGAAAATACTGAAATATACTGGTTTAGACACACTTTGTAACATCAGCACAAACAACCTTTCTAATGACTTCGCGGTGAATACCGGCACATTGATGTTTTTAGCAAATAGCCTTGATGATGATGATGACGATGATGATGATGATGATGATGATGATGATGATGACAATGATGATGAAACTTGCCCTACCATCATACATAAGACAGTTACTTAAGCCAGGTTTGGGGGTCGTGCTTTCAAGCCATTCCGCCACACACACACACACATACACACACATACACAAACACATACTCGCACACACACAAATACAGAGGCGGATGTATGCGTAGAATCACGTGATTCATGTTTGCTTTTCTCGAAATACAGAATAAAATTTGTAGAGGCCTGTCTTACGTTCGATGAACCTCACATAAACAGCAAACCTCGGCAAGATAGTAACCCCGCCTTATGGACCCTTTCACACCAGTGGCGTATTTGGTAAATGTGTCTAGACATATGTTTCCATAGTCGCAGACAAATGCCTGATGACAATGTTAAATTTACAAAAGGATTAATTCAAGAGGGGTGAAGAAATAAGGGAAATGGCTGGGCAACTACCGGTATTATTAGTTATAAGTCAATGAATATGTCGCTTTACTGGGCCCATCCTGAGAAGTAACCAGTAGAGAATCTCCAAACAGGCACTAAAATGTGAAATAAAGGGAATGAGAAAACAAGGACTCCAAAACAAAACCCTAAAACGGAAGCTGATGACAGAGGCTAAAGATCCTAGACTGGACTAAATCCATGATATCGAAGAGATAGCATAGTGTTGCGTGCTGATTCATGTGATTTTAACCTTGGGAGAGGACAACATAGTGGGAATGGTGTTGTCGGGAGTCCACGAGAAGGGTCATTTACCTATGTCAACATGTTGCCCAGTGTTTACTCAAACCAGGAAATATTTGTCGGTTGAGTAAATATTAAGGGAAGAGGGAAGGCACTTGACACGGAATGGACCCGGGGCAGTCGAAGGAAGAGAGTCCAGGAGGCAGAGTTAGGCCACGAGGACTGGATACTCAAGAGTAGCTGTTTTGGGTGACGACACAGGAAGGCGTTGGCTCATTAGTGAAACAAGAAAGCGGGGACGCCGGCGATAGCTGTGTGAAGCAAGCGAGGGAAAGAAGGGGCTAAATTTACAGTTAGCCAGGACAGATGACCATATCACTTCGCTTGAACTGTTTGTGTGAGGAATTGTGATAACCCCCTCTGTGTCGTGACAATAAACATATATGTATGGCGGACAATATATGGCTAACATTGTGTCGTTGAATTTTCCTAAAGTTGAATGTTTTGAAGCGAGAACTGCATCCTTGGACATTTAACCGTGAGCTGATTGTTGATACACCTAAGATAGCACACAACAGTTTGAGAGCCAAGCCTCCAGGGAACAAAGAGGCCTCTCAATAGCAACAGCTTGAGGGCCAGCCACTTTTTGGAACGAGGGACCTTCCACTGCAGGTTGTAAGCAGCGTTGTGTTGAATCAACGACCAACCTCAGGAAAACGTTGCCAGGGAAAGCAAGTTGTTACGAACTGTTGAACTGTCAGTGTATCATCGTGTCATCGTTCAAGCAGAATCGCCAGTTTACCAGCTGCAAGGAACCGGAGCGGAACCCGTGTCGTCTAGTCTTTACCAGAAACTGGATCTCTAGTGTGGACTGTGTGATTGGTCGAAGCAGTGTATTGTGTGTATCATCCTCTCATCTTATGTCTCCTCGTCCAACATTAACGAGTATGTAATTGTAGATTGTGTAATGTTATATTGCATTATTTACATTGCTTTGCCCATGTTTTATGTTTGGTATACCTGAGATTTCATTTACATTTTGTGTTTGTTAAGTAGGCGGTTGGGAGGAACACTTCTGTTCAGGTATTTTTGTTGTGAGACATAATTTAGGGGCTGTCTTTTAGTTATTTATGCTTTCGAAGGTATTGTTACTGTTAAAAATCACCTCATAGACTGGAATAGCTAGTTTGTCTGCGTCAGGCGGGGTTAATAGTGCTGTACGTATTGTTTGTTATCGGTTGTAATTACCCTTTGTACTTTCGTTCGATTTGTATACCGTCATACATAGCTTGTGTTTTCGGCGTCATGTTGTCGTAAAAGTTATCGCTGTTTTCGTAGCGTAGCGTGTTGTCTTTTTTTTTTTTTTTTTTCATTTCCATCTCATCACCATCATCAGTAGTGAAAATGTCTTTTGCTGAGTTTGTCAGCATGGCTAAAGAGTTGGGACTCAAGTCCGAAGAGGTTCTTCGCTTTGCAGAAGCTAAAATGGAGATTGCTGAGAAAGAAGCAGAGAAAGTTGCTAGAGATGAGAAAGCTGCAGAGAGGGCTCATCAGAAAGAGCTAGCAGAAGAAGAAGCAGAAAGAAATGCTGCAGAGAAGACTGCAGAGAGAGCTCACCAGAAAGATTTAGCAGAGATAGAAAGGGACAAAGAAATAGCGAAGTAGGAAGCGCTAAATAAAGAAGAGGGTTCAAACCACTCAAGTAAAGATGTGGGGAAATATAAACACAAACTACCATTTATAACACCTGAAGATAAATTGCATTCATATATTGAGATATTTGAAAAAGCTCATAGGTGTGCGGGTATTCCTGAATCACAATGGGTCTCATGCTTACGTGATTTGTTAACAGGAAAAACATTAATTACCTTCAGCAACTTTTCGACAGAGGAACGAAGTTCCTTTGCCACGCTGCGGCAGAAGTTGCTAGCCTCCAAACAACTGACAGAAGAGGGTTGTAGGCAGCACTTTCATGACGCCTTACCAGCTAGTGATACGTCTTTTGGTTAGCACTGGCGAGTATTGGTAACTCGTTTGATAAACTTGCTGACTTAATACTTAGAGATAAGGTGTTATCATCATGTAGCACAGACTTGTTTGCATTTTGTCATGAGAGAAAGCCCCAAACACTAGAAGAAATGACGTTTCTGTGAGAACAGTTAATTATTGCTCATCAAGATAAACCCATACAGAAGCAGAGTATAGAAGAACTGATACCAACTGCATCAAGCCTGCAAGTAAAGGGCCTCCTAAGGGTCAGAAACCTAAATAGAAATTCCAGAGCAAAGGACAAAGCCCTAAGAAAGGAAAGGAGATTCCAAGAACAGGTGCTGCAGATACAAAACTAGTGTGTATCCATTGTGGGTCCTGGCGGCATACCTCAGACTCATGTTTCTACAGGAACAATAGAAAGGATGACGAGGATAAGAAGCGAAGAAGAGGTGCCTCCCAGTATCGAGGAACAGTACAATCTTTTAATTGTAGAGGGCCACATTTCGCCAAGGACTGTTCAAAGAATGTTAGACAGGGTAATGCTGCGCAGATTATAGAGACTTCTGAAGTACCAGAGAAACTAGAGATACAGATGGGACAAGAAACAGAAGTAATCCTTTCTGCTTTGTATGGTAGGAGGGTTACCATTACATAAGGGATATGTAGGCCATTTTTCAGCGACAGTCTTTAGGGACACTGGCACGAGCGTGATCGGAGCTGTAAAGTTTTTAGTGCCGAAGTCTGCGTACTTAGGTAAAAGAGTAAGATGTCGTACTTTTGGTGGCAGTATCGAAAAGTACCCTGGTGCAAAACGTTTTATATTATCTGTTGTTATTTTCAGGGTTTGACAGAGGTTTGCGTATTGAAACATCTAGTAGCTGATGTGGTGGTAGGATCAGTCAAAGGAGCCACCATGTCTACTGAGAAGATTGAAGAGTAGTACAAGAAGCATGTGAAAACAGCCAGAACTGTTGCTATAAAAGCACAGCAGGTGCGCGAAAAGGCCAGGAACAAGAAATTGTAATCCCTAAGGAATTAAGTAAGGCCGGCCTGAGAAAGTTGGTAGAAATCAACAATGAACAAGCTCCCCCGCACAAGATCGTATTTGAGCAAGGCCGCTACTGCACCCAATTTGACGAGGAGATGTTTTTAAACTGTACACTCTTAGCCGATGAAAAAGGCAGGGCCTCCGTCGCAAAATTAAACCGATTCTTGGACAAGGTGGAAGAAGCCTGTGAACGGATAAAAGCGACCAAACGAAATCAAAGGAGGCAGGGAACACCAAACAGACGCCGCCAATATTAAACCAGATAAACCGCCCACAAACAGCCCGGCAGATGGACCAGCCCAACCGAGGAATCAAGAAGCCATTAGCCAACCAGAACTGACCAAAGCCGCCATGACACCGACCAAACCCAGCTCACCGGACTGGAAAACTCACCCGCACAAGACCAATCAGGCATTACCAGAACCTGACAACAGAAGCCAGACCCCGCCCATCCCGTTCCAGGCCACCCAGGCACATATGGCTGTCCTTTTCAGGACTGCCATGTCCACTTCCCAAAATGCAAGCCGCCCACCAAGCCCACGCTGCTGACATGAGGTAACAACGAACGGAAAACTCAGGCGAAAATCATCGCCACAAAAGTAAGAAATCCAGCTCAGATAGCAAATGACTCGTCCTTGAAAAAACAGGCCACCAGGCAGTTAAAAAAGGACTAAGTTTGGAATTTTTATTTTTTCTTTAAATGAACGAAAAGGCCAGACTTTATGAGGGCGAATACCCTATGAAAAAGAAGATTGTTTTCCAGGCTGGGATAACCAGTCCAGAAAAAAAAACACGCACAGAACCTGTGTAATTTCAGTGACGAGCAGAAAGCAGATCCTGCTTTGCAAAAGATAGACTACATCCTGAAGGTAGACAAACAAGAGCTTTTAGAGAGGGCACTAGCGTATTTAGACCAGGCAATTGAGAGGTCAATTGGCACTAGCGTATTTAGACCAGGCAATTGAGAGGTCAATTGCAGAAGTAGATGGGAATGGCGAAAGCGATATGCATCTGCCACATCTGGTACCCAGAAAGCACTGGAAGGATGAGAAAATATCCTTAGCCAGTCAAGTAGAAAAACGCAGTCGAAACTGTAGAATACTGACCACATTCAACAGTGCTTTGACTGACAGTCCAAGCAAGACCACAGAGGCAATGCACATAGGCGAGAGGTTGAACAGCCATCCATCATCAGTTAAAAAGAAATTATTGGCATAAAGCCAGTCATGGAATGGCCTGTTCCCATAACGAAGAAATAAAAAAAGAAAATTATTGGGTCTGGGAAATTTCTATTCAAAGTTCATCCCACATTAATCAGTCATCACAGCTTTATTGTGTTCGTTAAATAGGAAAGGTATGCCAAACAAAATAAAATGGACAAAACAATGTGAAGTAGCATTACGCGACTGACAAAAATCCTTCACTTTTAAGCCATTTTTACGTTTGCCAGATCTATCTTTACCTTTCTATGTTTCATGTGACGCCTCCAATGTCGGCACGTGAGATGTGAGGATTTTTGGCATCCAGTCTGTATGCCAGCAGGAAACGGACGCCGACAGAGACAAGATACAGCATCAGGGAACAAGAAGCTTTGAACATCTACTACGCTGTCTGCAAGTTTAAACACTACTTTTATGGTTGTCGTTTCACTGTATGGACAGACCATCAACCATTACAAGTCCTTAATTCCGGAGCAGTTAGGAACAGTAGAATCCTGAGATGGTCGTTAGTTTTACAGAATTTTTCATTTGATGTAACGTATGTTAGTTGAAAAAAGAATTTGCTAGCTGATAACCTGTTAAGGTTGACCACAATAGCACAAGGTGTCTTACAAGACTGTCCTCTTCCTGAGGAGCTGCGAAGCCACGTGTGGCAACACACAAGAGACATAACAACTAAGCTTTGGAGAGAGCTAAGAGATCCCGAGCTGGCGTCCAAGCGTATGGAACATTTTGGATTAAACACGTGAGCAGAGATCGCAAAAGAACGTTTAAATATGTGTTGCCAAAGGCAATAGAAGGTCATTATCATCATGTGCCCTGCCAACCGGCATAGGCGCTCATGCGTCTCCACAGATCACGATCCCTGGTTGCCTGGAACAGCATTCTTGATGATATCCCTCCATGCCATCGTTTCAGCCCATCCAGCATCATCTCTCTTGGTCTGCCTCTACCCCTCTTTCCACTGATCTTTCAAGTTGTCACGATGTTTTCCAACGTCTCTCTTCTCATAAGGTGGCCAAAGAACAGTGTTTGTCTCTTTCTTATTGTTGTAGAACTAGGAGTCTGGAAAATACATGTAGTGAAAATACCTTTTGGTAAAGCGACCGATTCATTCTGAGTACAATAAAATTAGTGTGGCTTATTAGGAAAGAAAAGAACAGTAATACTTTAAGCTTTCTTGCTTGTCGTAATAGCATTTTCTACATATGCAGCTGCAAATTCCAGCATGCATACGTTTGCATGTGTTTCATGTGAGCTGACTGAGACCATCTACCCACTGGAGGATGTGACGAATTAACTGAGGACAAGAAGGAGAGTAGTAGATAAAAGCAGAAAAAAGAAGAAGAAATAGAAGAAAAAGAACGAAAAAGGTAGAAGAAAAAAATAATAATGATGATCATGACAAGAAGAAGAAGAAGAAGAAGAAGAAGAAGAAGAAGAAGAAGAAGAAGAAGAAGAAGAAGAAGAAGAAGAAGAAGAAGAAGAAGAAAAGAAGAAGAAGAAGAAGAAGAAGAAGAAGAAGAAGAAGAAGAAGAAGAAGAAGAAGAAATAACGGTATTGAAGCGGTAGAAATATAGCGCCCCTCCAACTAGACTAACGAAACCTCAGTCTCACCTCCCAAACGCCAGTGCCGCTCTCCTCCAACCCCACGGCCAAGCCATCGAAGACTGTGTGGAAAGACAAGGCACCCAGAAGCAGAAACGCCCTCAGTGGGTTGACCTCCATAGCTTGGATGGCCTTGACCATTTCTGCATCGTGTTCATGGTCTGGAAAAACAAATGTTCAAAAATATACCGACAGAATACAAGATACATTTCTGCTCTGATGTTGACAGCCCTAGTTCTCCCAGTGTTCGCATCTGTGGCTTTGGTGTTGTAAACGAGCTTCGCAATTCCGACTGCCCGGTTCTATTTCAGTTGCAGAAGATTTGGCAGCAGACCTCTTTGCGTTGAATTTCTACAATATTATCAACAGTTATCAAGAGCCCACCATTAAGAAATGAATGACAAACTTTTCCTCCTTTTTTTTAGCCTTCACTGCTGTAGATATCCTCCGCTTCCATTTATCTCTGTTACAAGCCCTCTGTTTCATTTTCCTGACTCCCAGTGTTTGTCCGTTTGACATTATCTCTCTACTCTCTTCTTGGTCTCCCTCTTGGTCAGTTTAAATTCTTCTTCTTCTTCTTTTTCACGTTCACCAGCTGTAAACTCTGGCAGAAAGTTCTCGTTGTTCATTCACTTCTGGACCGCAGTCGTGTTCCAGAACGTGAGTGTTGCGTGTGCATCCGTTTTACAGATCTGACTCATTTGCATGCAGACTGCTGGTTCCTTGCCTCTCAGGCAGATGCAATCCGACTTCGAAGGAAGCTTTAAATTAGTCGACTCTTACGACATGCTTTTGAGTAGGCAGTGGGTCTATTCTTGTTTTCCCCACAATAGGGCTCCGGAACCCACACGGGAATGTTCAAGTCCCTTGGGTAAACAGTTTCTACCTCTCTGTCATCTGATATTCTCTCTTAATGATCAAACCATAAGTCAATTAGCCCAGTGGTGCCAGTTTCCACTGGTTATTTAAACAGATTATAAATTGCATTGTTGCTTCTCCTTCTACATTTTTCACTGTTTGCATATTTGTAAGCAAACTACTGATTGTAAAATTGCTAGTTTAAGGTTTGAGGTTTTAACAACGGATCAACATCATGGCACACGGGTAATAACCCATAGGTGGTCGGGTCTTCTTCTAACTCAAGTCTGGAGAAGCTCAGCACAGTGCATATGCTCTATAGCACCGGCGAGGATCCTGAAATACTTTGGGTGGATTTATAACTCCAAATTTTCCCCGGGCAGCACCGTTAAGCTACTCTTTTCGATTTCCAACTGCCAGGAGATTTTTTACATTCGCAACAATGCACACGGGCGTCCGATCTCACTCTCCAGAGACCAGGGGGAATTATTAGAAGTCCACGTGAAAAAAATCCCAGCCTGTAGCAGGGATTGAACCCGGAACCTCCAGCACCCGAGGCGGACACCATGCCTCGAGATCACGCAGCCCCCTTAAAATTGCCAGTAAAACCAAACAGTCAAACAAGGGCTGGCTTTTAGTTTGTAATATCCTGGAGACTTTAAACAAGTAACATAGATCCGGTTATCAAGGTCAATGTCATGGCGATATCTATAAACTGATGTTCCGCTTGAGTGACTGGAGATAGTAACTATCTGATTTTGATCTGGCTTTAAGACATACGCAAATAGATGCGTTGTAAAATCTGCACTAGATAATATAAAGTCCAAAGATTCTTCTTGCGCTGCTTCTGTTCTTCTGCGTTTGGTATTTACAGGGCGACTGGTACATTGTGTTGTGGTTTACATCCAGCCTTATCTATGACTCTCCACCCAGCATAACTGATTTCAGCTAACTCCCCATTTACGACATTCTTGCTACAGGGCAATAGGCATGTACTGCCCCCCCCCCCCTCCCGCCCTACATCACCGCCCCTCACCCCTCCAGTTCGGGGCCCACGCGAGGAAATGTGTAAAGTAATTCGAAAGACTGACTGCACAAGATTAGTCCAAAAGTTCAATGTAAAGAAAAAAAGGAGAGAACAAATTTAAGCCTAAACATATAATGTAAAGAAGAAGGCGAGAGCTCAAATGGCAGAAGATTCAATGAAGCAATAAGGCGAAAGCTCCAATGTAAGGAAGGCCTAAGAATCAATGAAAGCAACAATACGTTAGATGCCATGTAAACAATAATGCGAAAGAACAAGGTGAAAGATTCAAAGTAAGAAACATAGCGAAAGATTTAAATTAAGAATCAAGGCGAATGATTCAAAGTAAGGAACTAGGCGAAAGAACCAAAATAAGGAACAAGCCAAAAGATCTAAAGTAAGGAAGAGGGCGAAAGATTCAGTTTATAAAATTTGTTAAAAAATTCATTGTCTAATACAGTTTGGAAGGATATATGTATAATACACACAAAAAGAGTCAATAAACACTACAAATCGAAAGACACTGACCAATATGAGCGTAACGGTCACTGACAATACAGTACATCTGGAAAGATTTATTGCACAAAACAAGTCGAAAGATTCACAGTACACAAGTCGTGAGATTATGTACATTCCATAAGTCGAAAAAATTCAGTGCGTAGTACACAGCAAGAGATCAATGGCACAGATAACCCTACCGCTAACACCATCATGTTCATTCTTCAGGTGGGTGTGTTGGACGATCACGGCCGAATGAGACCCAGGTGCCATTGAGTTCGGTGAATTAAAAGGTTGAATTCTATCCGCCGTGTAGCTCTGGGGAGGTGAAGCTGTCGGGTCAACATGGCCGTTCTTAATACTGGACAGTTCTTGGCTTCCGTTCGTTTGGCGGAACTGTTGATCTTGAAGAAAAGCCTGGTTGTAACGACCTGGGTGATCTTGACTTGGTAACTCTTCGTGGCTAGAGACAGAAATGATCAAGTTGTAAGTGTCTGTGGTCTTTTCAGTAGTAGGTAAAGGGAGTAACAAACTAATTGCGGCTTTTACTGATCAATAAAAAGCTTTCAGCTGAGTATAGGGGTCGAAGTCTATTCTTTCATTCCACTCTATCTTGTGCGATCAGTTCAATGTCATGGATTGAATCCAGTCAAGCAGCTTTGGTCTCTCTCATCATCATTCGTCTTAGGGTTTATTTTGGGTGTTTTCGCCTCCTTAATCTATTTATTTTCCCATTTTCATGCCTGTTCGGTTATTTTCTGCTGATTTCTTTTCAGGATATGTCTAATGTAGCGCCATCTTCCATGACCTATAATTGTTGATAATAGTTGTTGCCAAGACATTTCTCTTTTTTCTTCACTCCTTTTGAATTCATTACATTTTATTTCAAATATTCTCCAACTTGTAAACAACACAAAAGTACATCACCTTGCAACGTTGTAATTTCTAGTGGCTTTCTGAGACTCCACAGCTTTCCCTGGAGCCCCATCATTAGAGGTTCTCTTGTGTAGGAGGTTGTGGGCTATCTGCTCCACGAAGGCAATGGCAAAGAAGCCTCCAGCTAGGACACATTCGTAAACGGGGAAATCAAGGTCCTCTTTTCCTATCTGTCGTAGTTGGAGAAACAAAAGACATGAGTTAGATAGGAGGGCGTTACAACAAACATAGATGGCAAGAGATTGGAAGACAAAACAAGACAGACAGGGCTAGAGACAGGACGCCAATTAACATATAGACCAGCGGACGCCAGCCGCTGATTTGCCGGGTCATCTGGGTAAAGGTTCGACTGCACACATTCACGACAAGCCGATGTTAGCTCCGTCTCACTCCTCAACAGATAGCGAACAGTCTCCATTCTGATGGTTCTCGTTGTTCTCTGGGTAACTACTCGTCTTGGCTTTCCTTCCGAGTCTCCAAGGTCGCCCAGTGTCTACCTATCTGTCTACCTGTCTGTCAGCCTAATTGCCATACATATATCTCACTCACTTCACTTATCAGTTACATTAACATATGCCCAGTACAGTCAACAAGCTCCTCATTATCTGTGCCACTGCTAATCAACTCAATGTTGTGGCCTAGAACGCTGGCTATTAGCAGGGGCGCTTTAACCCGGGGCTGAGACACCTTGAACCTCCCTCCAACCTCCCCCACCCTAAAAATTTAAGAAAGAAATTATTTTTGGACAGTGAAGAAAAGGTTTAATGAAGTGGGGAAGCAGAACAACGTGCACAACATACACACACACACACACACACACACACACACACACACACACACACACACACATTGACGATTTCCACAGGGGCCTTTCTCAACATGAACTAACTACACAAACAATAAAGAAGGGGAAGAGTACTCCAATCCCCAGCGCCAGCCTAGGGGGTCACGTGAAAAACTATAAAAGATGACGTGCAATGAATGAAAGAAAAGAAAATAAAACAAAGAAAGGCTAAAAAAATAGTCATAAAAGTAATTGTGATAATATATAATAACAGTAGGAACAAAAGAGTAGTAGTTGTAGTAGTAGTATTAGTAGTAGTAGTAGTAGTAGTAGTAGTAGTAGTAGAAGTAGTAGTAGTAGTAGTAGTAGTAGTAGTAGTAGTAGCAGCAGTAGGAGTAGTAGTAGTAGTAGTAGTAGTAGTAGTAGTAGTAGTAGTAGTAGTAGTAGTAGAATTAGTAGTAGTAGCAGTAGCATTAGTAGTAGTAGTAGCAGTAGCAGCAGTAGTAGTAGTAGTAGTAGTAGTAGTAGTAGTAGCAGTAGTAGTAGTAGCAGTAGTAGCAGTAGTAGTAGTATTAGTAGTAGTAGTAGTAGTAGAAGTAGCAGTAGTAGTAGTAGTAGTAGTAGTAGTAGTAGTAGTAGTAGTAGTAGTAGTAGTAGTCGTAGTAGTAGTAGTAGTAGTAGTAGTAGTAGTAGTAGTAGTAGTAGTAGTAGTAGTAATAGTAGTAGCAGTAGTAGTATTAGTAGTAGTAGTAGTAGTCGTAGTAGTAGTAGTAGTAGTAGTAGTAGTAGTAGTAGTAGTAGTAGTAGTAGTAGTAGTAGTAGTAGTAGTAGTAATAGTAGTAGCAGTAGTAGTATTAGTAGTAGTAGTAGTAGTAGTAGTAGTAGTAGTAGTAGTAGTAGTAGTAGTAGTAGTAGTAGTAGTAGTAGTAGTAGTAGTAGTAGTAGTAGAAATATCAATGTTGATGGTCCATAACTGTTACTGATTCGAGATATAATAAAATTATAATACTATAAGAGAGGCTGCCGCCTCCCATTGAGAATTTGTTAGAAAGCTAATTATGTAAAACGAAAGTAAAGGATCCTTTTCAAGTCATCAGGCGTCTTGGGCAAATAGGGCTAGACCCATATCGTCACTGGGTAGGTGATGTATGCAGCATCAAAGTCGGCCGTCTTGACTTTCTAAAACTGTATGACTGGTACTCATTCAAGGGTGGGTCGATCTGTGAACCAAGGATATTTTTGAAACAAAGTCCGGTTCCATAAGGACTTGAACCCGCAACCTTCAGATCCGCCGGTGAGCAGCTAGCCGCTACCTCAAGGTAGCTTCCCAATGGAGCTTAGGGCCCTCCTCCTCCCTCTCCCTCAATTGTGTTCTTTTTCTAAGCATTTGTTTACACTGGTATGTTTGTTGGCTTCTGTGGCACTGGCGTTACAAACATGGTTTAGAAATCTGCGATACGCAGTTCGATTGCAGCTGCGGGCTGTAAGACTGCAGACAGCAGTGCGTTGATTTTGTTTTAGCGTAATGTCCTCTCTGTTCATTTTCTACAGGTGTTGCTCCCATCTAGGGCAGCCTCGTGCAAATTTGACGGCCCTCATAAGAAGGCAGGGCGGATCATGAGCGTCCCACGCCCTCCAAGGAGTCTTTCATGAATACAGAGCCGACACATGCCTCTCTGGTCCTGGGCTTACCCAAGGAATTGTCACGTCCTGCACATGACTGCTTAAGCTCTCATCCGTATGTAGAGCTTCCTATGCATCACGGGTTGCACTATGCCCAAAATGATACTATAGGGCTCCGTAGAGGAAAATAGGGCAAAACAAGAAAGACCTAGATATAACATTTCGCTGAATGGACAGATCCCAAACATGCAAACACCAAGACCATCATAGGTGAATGGTGGTGATCAGCAGAAACTAGTGATCAAACGACGGTAAGAGGGTGGATTGAATGTTGTGGTGTGGTCTTCACACTGAAATCTGTTTGACAACACATCCGATTTGAGAAAACCCTAAATAGTCGCCTTTTACGACATGCTTCTTAAAGGGAAAGTGAGAATATTCTTATCCCTCAGAACAGTATCCCAGCATCACTCGGGGAGGCGATGAGGATCTTTACCGCTGCTACCAACCCTGGAGAAATTGATCACATCTCTGTCATATTTCCTGTGATCCCACTTGGTTTCTGCCCGATTTATTCTTGCCTTGTTCTGTTCTTCTTATGTCTACAAGGGTTCTTACCCATAAACACATAGTCAGCTTTTATCTTCTAGTGTTTTGATGGCCTCTCATGTGACCACGACACTCGATTATCGTGTCACACCGTGAAAAGCCACCTATTTTGTTGATACATGCGAAGTTGTGCTCCAATGTTTCTTCTTCTTTTTCTTCCTCTTCTTCTTCGTCTTCTTCTTCTTCTTCCTCTACTTCTTCTTCTTTTTCTTCTTCTTTTTCTTCTTCTTCTTCTTCTTCTTCTTCTTCATCTTCTTCTTCTTCTTCTTCTTCTTCTTCTTCTTCTTATTATTATTATTATTATTATTATTATTATTATTATTATTATTTATTATTATTATTCCTTCCTCCTCCTCATCTTCTTCTTCTTCTTCTTCTTCTTCTTCTTCTTCTTCTTCTTCTTCTTCTTCTTATTATTATTATTATTATTATTATTATTATTATTATTATTATTATTATTATTATTATTATTATTATTCCTTCTCCTCCTCCTCTTCTTCTTCTTCTTCTTCTTCTTCTTCTTCTTCTTCTTCTTCTTCTTCTTCTTCTTCTTCTTCTTCTACTTTTTCTTTCTGTGTGTCTTTCTGTCTGTTTTTCCTTATGTCTTTCTTTCTTTCCTTCATTTTCTTCTCCTTCTCCTGCTCCTCTTCTCTCTCTCTCTCTCTCTCTCTCTCTCTCTCTCTCTCTCTCTCTCTCTCTCTCTCTCTCTCTCTCTACTGTAATACTCACTACCAGTGGTTTTCAGATGATGCCCACAACTGATCCCTACATCTTGGTTTCTATTGACATGTGGAGAGTATGTTTGCAGCATACGTTTAGTATTCTATCATGCCTATTCATTAAGCTAAAAGTTGTAACATTTTTTTTCTTTGTTGCCTATGCTCTCTTTTTCTATTAGCTTTCTTTCCATTTTGTTGTTGTTGTTGTTGTTGTTGTTGTTTTTGTTGTTGTAAATACTCTTGGTGTGTAGATGCAATATGAATTTTGTTATCACTTTGTTTTAAGTAAACGACCATTTTTACGCAGTTACTTGGTTGCTTCTTAAGCTAGTTGGTTGGTTGTCTGTTAATGGTTGGTTATTTGCCTGGATGATGATTATGATGACGTTTATGAATTTGATGATGATGATGATGATGATGATGGAGGAAATGAAGAAGAAGAAGAACAAAAACAACAACAACAACAAAAATAACAACAACAATAACAACAACATAAATATCAGCAAACAACGCCTTACCGACTTAAAATACTCTTCCATAGACTCTCTTCCCTCAGCCAAGAGATGGAGCAGACATGCCCCGAAGAAAACCCCGCCAGCGAAACAAGTCAGATAAGAAATAACTGCAGTCCTGATGCGAATGCTTCTGCTGCTTTGATTCCCGCCCCGGACCAGTAAATAAGGGGGCCATCCGAAGATTAGGGTGTCCACAAAGAGAAGGGCGATGCAAAGTCCTTTCGTCTCATTGGCATTCATGGTCGCAGGTTTGATCTGTTGGCTTAGATGTCTGGAATATAGCAATAATACACAAAGGATTACTTTATCGTCATCAATCTGCAAGCAATAGCATAAGAAGGGGAAAGGGAGGGGGAGGTGGTGTAGTCGTGGCGAGCCGGCATTATGGGGGCAGGGGTAGGGATGGTAGTCATGGCGGGCAAGCATCATGTGGGGGGGGGGGGTAGTCGTGGCGGGCCGGCATCATGGGGGCGGAGGGGCGGGTATTCTGTGTCTGTGTGTGTGTTGTTATCTGTGTGTGTTGTAGGAAGAAAAAAAAGGAGGGTGGTTTGTAGGAAATGGTTGGCACTAGGTATTGCCTAACCCTGGCACGTCACAGTCAGATGGTTCTACAGAGAACATCGCTATCATCATGGCTAGCCTGAATGTCTCTCTTTCACTGGATAATTCTCCAGCCCTATGTGCTTTCACAGCTAATGCATATGCCAAGTCTTGTATTCACCTTTAAGGATTACTTAGGAAACTCTAAATTTTACGGTTTTAGGGACAGAGAGGTGCAGAACCACACGCAGCGGTGCACTAGGACCAGAGGTCACACAGGTCATGACCTATCTACAAATCTCCGGGGTCATCCTAGAATCTGTTTCCCATGGGGACCCAGGGTCACTGAGATAAGATCGACGTTTCCTTCAAAGTCGGAGTGCATCTGCCTGAGCGCCAAGGAACCAACAGTCTGCACACAAATTAACTATCTATAAAACAGATGTGCACGTAAAACTCAGTCCTGGAAAAAGACTAAAGTCTAGAAGAGGAATAACTAGAATTTTCTGTTCGAATCTCTATGAAGAAAAAAGAATGGTTTTATTTGTCAAGTGAACGTTGAAAAACAACTAAAAGGTAATGGAACGAAAGTAAATGCAGTAAAACAGAAATTTCTAATGGCATGAATCTACTTTAAATCGGATAAATTCAAGAAAATAAAGACAAAAGAGAGATGTATGGGAAACAGCAAGTATTATCAGTTATAGATCAAAGAAGAGGACGATATGTTGTGCAAATTTTTAAGGAAAAAACAGGCAAAGAATCACCAAAAAGGAACCGAACTAGGATACAAATGGACTGAGGGAACATGGACGTCCAAAAGAAACAAAAATACAAATGTAAGTGAGAGAGGACAGAAGCGTTGGTCCGGATTCCATCCATAACATTTGAGAACTTGCACACTGTAGAAGGATGTGAAAGAATAAACGCTGAAAGAAGAAAGTCGGGAATTCAGTTCAACTACTTCTGTTCCACATGAGGACGAAGATTGCTGCTGTCACAGGAGCACTTACATGGCTGGCAGAACAAAAAGCAACTTGTGTATCGATAGTGACAGACTCAATGAGCATACTTAAGCAGATCTAAGCTGGCAAACTCTGACTAGAGTGGGTTGACAACATTCAGAAGACCCACCTCAAGAAACTGTACGTTTTCTGCAGTAGTTAGTGGGGCGGGAGGGGGCTAGGGGTGGATAAGCAGACATAATGAATGAAAGCGTTCCAGAGACGTTGTAATAAAGAGGTCGGAGACGATGAACTGCCTGTTGCAAATGGCTTTTTACCGAGGAACAGCTTGAAGATACTGGCTGCTAGGCAAGGAAAGAAGATACACCAGTCAACTCCTGCTTGATCGGGGAGCATGAAGACAATGGGATGGTGCTGCATTGGAGGACAGAGCACGAGTGGGTCGGACCGATGTGATAGTTATATCGATACGGATAACAAGTAACATGTGGAGAATAAACTGCGATCTCTATGCGACGTATACCGACACAAATGGATATGATGATGATGAGAATGATGATGAGGATAATAACAACGAGGATGAGGATGACTTGCTATTATATTTATATCCCCACTATTTTATTGAGAATGTCCTACAAAGGCAAGATGGACATACAATCAGACGGCTAGTGCTACATCGGAGTTGGAACTCTTATCTGGTAATTGTTGGGGACTGAGAGGTTATGGGAATGATCCTAGTGCTGTGAAGCTCAGATCAACTGTTTGGGTTACATGTTAGAACACACGAATGGAAAAATCCGACCCATTTTATTCTTCTCCGTCCTCTTCTTCTTGTCCTCCAGTTACCGTTGTGGGCAGTTTTGTGGTGAAGAGACGATTTTCTGTCTTTTCCATTTAATGCGTTGCATAAGTTGACCTTCTTTTATTTATTTCTTCTTCTGCTTCTTCTTCTGCTTCTTCTTTTTCTTATTATTATTATTATTATTATTATTATTATTATTATTATTATTATTATTATTATTATTATTATTATTATTATTAATCTTCTTCTTCACTTTCTCTTTTGCCGCGTCAAAGGTCGATGGAGATATAAGCTTTAGAGTCTTGCTCCTCCGGCCACCTCGATCATATTCCACTTGGTGTTGTAGTGTTTGTCTACTGTTATCTTTCCATGTTAAAATCACCACTGATCACTGGCATCGTGAGAGCTAATATACTGAAATGGTTGAGGCGTATATAAAGAATGTCAGATGACAGAGAAGTAAAAACTGTATACACCAGGGAGATAAAAGGTAGTAGACCACGAGGAAGACCAAGAAGACGATGGAGAGATAATATCCAGACAGACCTGCAAACACTTGATGTCACCAGTTGGAAAGAGAAGGCCAACCAGAGAAGTGAATAGAGACATATGATATCTGCAGCAATGAACCTCAAGGGCTCAGAATGCTAAAGAATAAGAAAAAGATCTTTCCATCTTGTTCTTGGTCTACCTCGACATTCTCTTCTCCTTGTGCATGGCGTCACAATTCATTCCCTGTCATTGAATGTACGAGAATTTAGAATTGGTTCTGTGCCGGCTTTTTCTCTTATAACCATTCCTGAATTTTATCTCTTATGGTCATTCCTGCAGCCCTTCTCCGAATCTCACTAACTGTTTTTTTTTCCTATTTGTTGTGAGTAATCATGCCCGACCCTGGCATATAATGTTGGAATTAACATGCTTTTGTAAAAGATGTTTCTGTACGTTGATCGAGATTGTCTTGTGCTGTGAAAGTGGAGCTAACTGTCCCAGTACTAGGTTTGCTTTGCCACATCTGATCTTAAGACTGTTATATCACAGTCGACGTCCCTGCACACTGGGCGTTCCCATGCAAGCTCAGTCCTCCGATGTAGCAGCCACCCAAAGCTACCTCTAGTGACTATTCCTATATTAGGTTGGTTTCCTATCTTGACTTCGAAGAGGGCGCCGAGTGCCTCACTAGGCCTCTCCGAGTTAAAGCAATGGTGTTAACGTCAGAGGCTCGTTACTATTTGCCAGTCTAGTCCGTATAAAGTTGATGTTATCTATTCTGTCCATGCAGTTTCCTGCAAACCTACCAGCCAGATCAAAAACGTCAAACAACACAGAGGACGCCAGACAAAGATGAGAAGGAGAAAAACAACAGCAAAGATGGAAAGACAAAAATTACATAAAAGTCCTTGTCAGGACTAAGCATTATCACATCCTAGAAGCCAAGACAGGGCGGAAAAACGTGACAGAAGGAATAGAAGCCAGAAACAACCAATCAGAAAATGGGAATCGCAAGACGACGAGAGGATAGGACAGAACCAAAATGCAATGTTCAGATGTGTCCTATCATAATCAGGAACGAAAAAAGAGACACAATTAAGAAATAGAAGACCCTTGCCTCCGGATACAACAACATCAGGTATAAAACAACTCTAAAGAAGCAAGAAGCAACATCAGTTAAACCGTATATAACAACACAACAAAATGGAACCGAAGGAAACCATTTTCAAACAAACCAGTCTCAATAAAGATCGCAAATATAGGCATCAGCTACATAGCTGAAAATGTCTGAACGTGATCCAATTTTCCTTTTCTTTTACAAGAAGCCAGCCAGTCTCCTGCAAGTAGTGGTGCAATACTTGCCAGTTTATCTGCTCGTTCATTACCTTAACTCTGACATTTCCAGGTGTGTAGATCCAGGTTAGGGAAGTTAGGTGTGTATGGGAAAGATGCCTACCCTTTCAGAACCTGTTGCTATTTTCTGAAGCATGTTCACGAAGTCCGATGTGATCAAAGACTGGGGCTACTTGTTCTGCTACCAATTCAAGTGCTCTAGACGCAGCTGTTACCTCCATAGTCATGCTTGACGTGGATTCCTTGTAGAATGTTACTGATGCCTTCGTTCCATAATTTTCATGGTCTCCCCCATTGCTCTGTGTCCAATTGTGTCAGGGTGATCCTCTGTAGTAGCTGTTGACATGTCACTCTCACCAAACTATACACATAATCTCAGAGCTAGTCTCTCGCCCGAGGATCCGAAAGTCGTGGGTCCAAACCTAACGGAGCTGGACAGTGTTTTTTTTTTAACAACCTTGGCTCTCCATTCGACCCAAACTTAAACAGGTACGAGGTAAAATCGTGGGAGGTAAAGGCTGTGATGTGACCACATTACTCATCCAGTGCAGATTGGTTTGTAGAATAAAGGTGTGGACTATATGCCTAATACAATACGCCTAAAGGGGCGAAAATTGTTTTTTTTTTTTTTTTTTTTTGCGTGTGACTGGTTTCAGGGCCAGGTTTATTTTACTTCCTTTATTCAAAGTGTTATCTCTCAATCAAAAGCACACACGAAAACAAATTTTGGCTTCTTTACGTTCGCTTTGATCAACTATTGTACTTCTCAAATACTTTATAAATCGGTGTAAATATGGGAGTATATTCATTCAGAACACAGAAGAAATCGACTTACTTACCGAAAGGAGACAATAATTTTTGGGTATACACGACATGTATCGATACTGAAGACATGTCAGTTCCATGTACACCACAAAATTCGCTCAAAGTTGCCGAACAATTTCAAGAAATATAAAATATATATGTTCTGATCTCATAAAACAAGCCGAATTTTCCGAAAAGGGGGAGGGGGTAATATTGTTGAAAACAGATATCTTGTAAACATCCGATAAATACTTCTTAACAACTGTCTTTAAAAATATATAAAT